TAGCCAATAAGTGGCAAAAAAAGAACTACTTTCATCTATTGGAGAAAAGTTGGTAAGTACGAAGACATTTTGCAAACATGCAGTACCCGATGGGGGTGTTTTGCAAACATGACAGGTTTTGTGTCAGCAGAGTGTTCCGGTCTACCCAGATCTTTTAGGTGCGTTTTGGCATATAGCTCAACTTATAGGGGTGTCTCACAAATTGTCCATTTTTTATTCCGTCGTTGCGTGGGGGACAAGGTTCAGTAGGGGCGATGGGTTCCCTTGTTCCGCAACTGCACATTGCGAAGCTCTCGTAGGCTAGTCGCCGGTCCGCCCCCGACCTGGCTGCGCCCCCACGCCCGACCCGCACTTTCCCGCCCCTCAGTGCTCCGTTCACTTCTCTCTCTCTCTCTCTCTCTCTCTCTGTCCCCTCCGACTTCTGCAGCACCCGTGCTCCATCTCCGCCCTTCGATACTCCAGTCCGCCCGCGGCTACGCTCTGCCGTCCGCTACTCCACTCCGCCCGCGCTCCATACTTATTAAAAAAAACATTTACTTGAGAAAAAAAGCGGTTGAGCTCTCTCTCCCTCTCTCTCTCCCTCTCTCTCTCTCTCTTTCACAGATCGACAATAAAAAGCATGACAGTGTCAAACATTTTTTCCAGTCTTTCACCTAATAGTATGCATTAAGTTTGACCCGGGTAGTCTGCACAGATTGGGTTAGGAAGGTAAGGACTCACCACCCACCAATGCATGACATTCGACCGCGACAGGCGTTCGGACCAACAGTCTGCTAAAAGAGAGAAGTGGTCGACCCTACTCACAACACACTTGTCGTACAAGCAGGCCTCGTACCAGGTATGAGTTCTTGCCCGCAATGCCCTGTAACATGCTATGCCGCATTTTTTCGAGTTGAAGACTAAAACCTTCTACGGAAGGTCGATGCTCAAACGTCCACCAAGCTACCTTCACTGGACCTTCATCACACATGCTATGCGTGCGGATGCACCAGAGGAGTCCTCGTCTGTAGTGACACTTCCCAACCATTTCATATAGTCTTCCAGCCACTCCACACACCATAATTATAGACTTATAACAGACCAGAACACACACATGGAGAATTCGACATAGTCTTCCAGGCACTCAACATACCATAGACTATGCCGTCCAGCTGCAAAACAACAGATGGAGAATCAGGGGGGGAAGAAACTTCAAGATAGAACCGAGATGGGGCCGTTGACGGGTAAGTGGGTGTGTGATGTAACAATTGTGAATAGCAGCGGACGAAACTGATTGAGAGAAAAGAGAAACAAAGAAAAAAAGAAAAAACGAAACTGATTCAGAGGTGTCAGGAAAATACTCACCAGGGAAGATCCGTTTAGCACAAACACACAACACCCAAATTTGCAATCAGACTCGTCTCACTCACACCTTTTCAGGCATGTAAACAGCGGCACAGCAACTGGCGACATGCGCCCACTCAATACTCAGAGATATCGCAACCAGATAAGAGTTCACTTGCAACGACTATGGCGACTGAGCGCCCAAACAACTTGCTGTTCACACACACTGGATCACCCTGGATATCCCATACGCATCACTCTGAACACTCACGTCACACACACACACACTGCACACTACCTACAGCTATGGCAGCTATGGCTGCCTCTACCCTATCGCTATGGCTACACTATGTCACTCTCGCCCACTGCGTCCTCCGGGCCTCCTGCAGACCTCCTCACACAAGACGCTGAAACAGCGCTTCCGCATGGCTTCCGCATGAATGAATGAATGGCTGGGCGCGGCCGCTTGATTTATACTTCTGCAGGTCGTCCCTGGCCCGAAGTGCACACAGTCCCGTACGGTACTTGCTTGACTGACTGGGGACTGGGACTGTTGACTCAGTAGGGTGGACTTCTACCACTTGCCCACTTGCCTCTGCTAAAACGTGAGGCAGTTACGAAAGGCCACCACTAGGACCTTCCGGAAGGCCGGGACTTGGCCTTTCGTGACTGTGGCAGCTACAACTTTGACCCTTCTGGATTGTAGCAGCTACGGACTTGACCTTTCGGGACTGCTACAGCTACGACCACTTGACCTGACCAGGACTCCTATCCGATAGGTCTACAGATCGAACCCATGCTGCCTATGGACCCTATGACAACCTACCGACTCTTGGAAATATACAGGTCGTGGGTTCAACTCTACGGGACGACACGGGTACTGTACACAGGTAAGGTTGGGGTCTAGGGATCGAACCCTGGGTACTGCATCAGCTATTGCTAAAAGGTGAAAACCATTTCAAATTCCCACGCCAGCTTTGTAAATGCATAAAATCTCTGTCCTTCACATTTCAGAAATAAAAATAAATGCACATATCAGCAGCATCCACTCCACCAGCACACTGTTGGTGGAACGTCCGCATGCCAGCGATGTCCAGTCCTCTACCCAAAAATCTCTTGCTCCGCCTTGCCTTGCCCGATATTTGCATTTCCCCTACTCACCACGTACATACTACACTGCATACCCCGTGCCAAGAGCAAGGCTTCTCATCACATAATCTATTGC